CCCCAGCTCACACCTCTCGGGAGCAAGCAGAGAGAGTCCCCCCATTCCACTCCATAGAGCAGAGCACGGTCAACACAAAGTCGGCGCCCTTTCGGCCAATCAAGCACGCGTAACCGCCGCCCCGCCCTCCTCTCCCTTCGCCACAACCGTACGCGGGTGCACGCGCGTGCGCGGCTGTTACATAAACTACGGTTACTCCCCCCTCCCATTCCTCCTTTCCCATTCGCCATTGCTGTGACCGCGACGTGTGTTGTTGCTGCTACTGCTGGTGTGTTGGATATGTTTACGATGGCGGTCGTAAAAAGGCGCCGCGTTTCCTTTATTCTCCGGAGATTCGATCTGAACGGGGACCGGAAGACCTCTTCGAACCGTATAAGAAAAGGAAATTGGGCCCATTGTTACCCGGGGGGCGATTGTATTCTTATGTAAAGAAGCGACCTAGCGGCGTAAGTGTCGTCAACACTGACAGCGCCGGGTCTATACATAGAGCTTTAGGGGTCGGGGGGGAAGGCATCTGAGTGGTGCGCTTTAAATCAGCGAGCCGCTGTATTATTCAAAGATAGCATCGAACACACGGAACGTATGGTGCCCGGACCGGCAATACCCCTTCGGGCGTTGTGATGACTATTGAAGGCCCACTCCATCGCGGATCGTTGGGGACCTACGCTGTGTATTCAAATAGCTCGAAGCAAAAGCTGCTAAAAAAACGTAAAAAAAAAAAGCAAACAAGAGTATTCCAATGGTTTTGCCAGCATGATTTAGCGTCACGGAATATTTTCGCGGTGACAAGTTCTGCGCAAGCGCAGACGCGGTGTACCTCCCGGCCGGGGCAGTTTTGTTTACGCATATATGTATGTTCACTTGCTCGATAATTTTGCCATATCTGCGAGTGATTTTAGGCCGCTTGCTTCGGTTAATTTAATTAATAGTTGTATTCACAAAAACTAAAAACTATATATTCGAGAAGAGAGAAACGGTATCTAAGACAGTTTACAGGTGCGTTACTATGAAAGTTACGCCCAGATTTTATGTGTACTCAAATATCTAAACTAAAACAAGAAAACAAAGAATCGTAGAATTTTACGAGCGTATTCGCGTAGAAACGCAAGAAAAAAAAAAGTTTTTAAACGAAACGGAGGGCAACTACGAAAGCATAGAAATGGCACATGCTTAGGCTACACGTTTCGCTATTCAACATTATATTTTATGAATCTGCAGAGAGGCATCGTTTATACTGCGCACGATGCATCTTTCTCATCCTGCCTATTTTCCCAACTAACGTTTTTCTAAACTTTTTTTTTTCTTACTGCGTTTTTGGAGATAACATAGTTAGGTTCTATGGGCGCAGCTACGTGCGAATGTGCGATAATAATAATATAAAAAAAAAAGAATCCAATACTCTCGCATATTTCATCGCAATTCCCCGACCTCTCGTTTATCACCATCAAAGGTCGCGTAGAAAAAAAGACAATTTCCTGCATAACAGAAAAGAAAGATAAAAGGAAAACACCACCGAAAATTACACGTTTCAGAGGGCGTTCTAGGGGTAGTCCCCTTTTTGAAAGGCATACTTTAGGGAAGAGTGTACTCCTTGCATTTTGTGTGTGCGTGCGTGCGTGGTATCTTATTACTGACGCATTATTTACGGACTTTATTACACATTCAACGTGAGGTAAAGGCAGTACCCTCAGTGTAGACTATGTTGTCATGGCATTTTGTTTTCTTTTTGCAACTGAGCATGCGTGCGGGCGAAATTGTTGTCAGGCTGTGAAAGGCGCGCCTTCCCATAAATTGGTCGATCTGTTTTTTTTTTTTTTTTTTATTGTTTCCCGTTTTTATTTTGCGTGGGATCTTTTTTTTTATATATGTTATAGCAAGAATTGCATACCCCTGTAGCGATGCTTACGCCCTTTTATGATATCACGGTCTCATGCGGCGAAAGCCCTTATAAAATAGGCGCAGTTTTAGAAAGGTTCCTTCTTTTGTTTTGGCACGCACGGACGTCTTTATGTGCACGTTGAGTTAACATAAATATAGGCGTTAGAAATTTAAGGCTGGTTTTAGCTGAACCTTCGCGCGATGTCTACCGCGCTATTTATCATCTCTCCGAGACGTAAAGGTGATTCATCACTAAGCCGTTGCTGGGCTAAGACTGATCGGTGAAGCTAGTACTCAGCCTTAGTTGAGTTACGGCTTAACGAAGCCTAAGTCGTGCTTGTAAAGACTGATATTGCTTCCGAAGTGAATTTGCCAATATTCTCTTACGGTAGCAACTAAAGTTTCAAATATATGTCGTGATTAAAAAAAAAAAAAATGCTGAAGGTGAACATGGACCCAGCGGCAGTTGACGCGATTGGTGTGGCTGGAATTATTATTAATATGAAGCTTTCATCCTGCGTCGGAATAGATTAGGAATAGAACTCAAGAACAGTAAGTTCTTAAGTTCTTAAAAAAATTTAGTGTGTACTGTTCAATAATTCCTTTAAAAGTTTATATGCAGTTTCTTATCCATGCCGTATAGTCCCAAGCGATTGGGTTTTTGGAAAGGTGGTTCTTTAACCCATATCTGGCGAAAAACAAAACCCATTAAATTATTGACCAATTTCTTTAAGAAGTGTGCTTCGTTAAATATTTGAACACGTCATTTATTCGCATGTGGTAAATTATTTGGAAACTAATGACCTCGTCACAAGTTCAGAACATGGCTTTAGAAAACGTTTTTCATGTGAGACGCAGCTATTTTCCTTCACGCATGATCTCCATCATTCTCTTGATAATAATTATGAAGCCGATCCGTATTTTTAGATTTCTCAAAAGCTTTTGACAAAGTTTCCCAAAAACTCCGTCTTCATAAATTACAATCACTTAACATTGACTCCTCTATACTGAACTGAATTCATGCCTTTTTAACTAATCAACCACAAATCATTACAATCACTAATCCCCACAGGGATCAGTGATTGGTCCGCTCCTTTTTCTTATTTAAATTAATGACTTGGAGCAGAACTTGTCTTATTCCATTTGTCTGTTTGCTGACGATTGCGTAATATACCGGAAAATAACCGACATATCTGACACTATTCTTCTACAATTTGCCCTTAATCGTATATCACTGCGATGTAATCAGTGGATAATGGAACTCAACAATGACAAACGTAAACCGATAAGAGTGTTGCCTCACAGGGAAACTCGTCGCCCCTGTGAGGCAGACCAAGTTCTAGGCTGTATAAACATACACACAACCCAATTCTTCTTCTACTTATCATCTTAACAGCAGTCCTCTCGCTTCTGAGTCTGTTTACAAATACCTTGGTGCTCACATAACGCGTAACCTTTCTTGGAAGATTCATACTGGATGCGTAATTAACCTTTCTAACCGTATGTCAGGACACTTAAAAAGATATTTATTTTTCGTTCCGTCTTCTATCAAACTAACCAAGTACGAAACCCTAATCCGTCCAAAATTAGAATATATCTGCTGCTGCTGTGTGGGACCCCGCTCACTCGTCACTAATTGCTCTTATTGAATCGATTTGAAACCCCTCAGCTCGTTTTATATTCGCAAACTGTCATCGCACTTGCCAGCGTTTCTACCATAAAAAAGAAAAAAGAAACATTTTAGGTCTGCCATTATTAATTCACCGCCAAAAAATCTATCGTTTGTGTCGTTTTCATAAAATATTTAATCAAAATGTTACCTTCGTCATAAACAATTTACTCCGCCATCCTACATATCTGCTCGCATTGATCCTAGCCATTCTAAATTTTAGAATTTCATTATTTTCAGATTATTTTATGAGACAAACATTGATAGACTGGAACCGCCTTCTCGCCTCGATTGCAAACATCAGTGATATTGTTTTGTTAAACATGTTATTACTAATATATGCACTTTATAGTTAATAGCCAACACGTCGCAAAAGCCACGTGTTGGCTTTGATGCATCCGCAATACCGAACTTTTCTATGATGGTAGCAATAAACAATTATTATTATTATTATTATTATATTGCAGCTTTCTCCCCTCTTCAATGTACTTATATTGAGAATATTTGAAAAAAAAAAGAAAAAGCGCTTGACAGGCTAAAAATGCACTGGAAGCTCTGAATCCATAAAGCACTCGTTGCCTTCTTTGGAGCTTTGGCTGCAACTGCTCGCGAGACACCTACGTGTTGTCGAATGTAGCAAGCTTCCGCTGGGTGCCGAACTCTCTCACAGCCTTCATTTATTTTCACTTTCTCTTTCTCTCCCTCTCTCTCTTGTCATCGCGCTGAACGCGGAGCTTCGGCTACATTCTCAGCGGTTTTTTATCAGCTAGTTTTCACAGACGCTCAAAGTTTTAACTTACCTTAAAGATGCGTCAACTTAAAGCTCGGTCGATTTGTGGAGAAAAGCACGACTTATTTTTTTTTTATTAAAGTGTGCGCACATACACTTGTTATATTAAAAAAAAAAAAATTTACCGGGGAGACTTAAGTAACTTTTGGCGTCATCTATCCAAAGGTTTTAGATTATCCGACATTAAAATTCTCAGACATGGCAGAATACACGTAGGCTCCCATATGGTTCTAACGGGTACCAAGCACCGGAAACGCGAGAAAACGATCCGCAAAAAGAAAGGGCTCAAGTGCACGATTCACGACGAACACGTGACATATTGTTCTCGCACAATCTTGTCACAGCGGTATTGCGACTTAAGCCTTTGTAGTCAGATCTTAAATTCTTGTTGTTCGGAGCCCAATACATCCATGCGCCGTTGAGTGTACTTACCCTAACACGAAAATATTTGAGCGGCAATGGCCACACAAAAACTCTCTGGAGGCACGTTCGACGCGCACAAATGTACGAAGCAAAGGTGCTCCGGGTGTTTGCCTCGATAATTCTGCCGTCGCGTCTCCAGGGAACGGCGTTTCCTTTGCATGGTGACCGAGCATTGTGACCGAGGCAAGGCCTCCTCGTGGAGCGAGCGGTGTGAACGGCGGCGAGGGAGCCTGCACTCACCGAAATGGAACCCCCAGAGTTCAGCGGAGGAGCCCTTGAGGTCCTGGTAGCCCCCGAACAGGTGCATGGCCCCGTTGTAGATGACGCACGTGTGGCCGCGCCGTCCGGTCGGCTGGCGGCCGGCCCCGAGACGGCCTTGCTCCTGCTGCTTGCGCCAAAGGCTCGCACCTGGAAGCGACCCTGGTCAGGGCAGATCGCTCGGACGTGCAACGCAATCTCAAAGCCGTAGCTTTGTATCAGAACCCGCCACGGACCTCGCTCGATAGCGTTGGCTTGACCGTAGCGAGAACAGCCACGAGAGAGCGTCGGCGAGGAACGCGGATCTATTACTCGCACTCCCTCGTATTGTTTGGTTATCTCTCGGGGTTCGACGTCGTAGCGAGCGCATCTAAGGGCGTCCCCACCGGCGAGAAGGCATTGCACGGTCAGACTGTATGCGCGACAGTATATCAAAGAAAATTACGCGAGGCCCCCAAAGAAGAGGTGCATGGATGAAGACGACAAGTCCATCGCACATTCACAGTTCCTTCCCCGCGTGTAACGCTGCATACCATTCATGGCCAAATTTCTGGGACATTCCGTGGAATAAAAGGTCTCCGAGGAAACATCAAAACTTTAACAGAGCGATCTCACCAAGCGTTCGGCGCATGCGTGAAGCCGTCACAACTTTACTTCACAGGAGGCAATCGGCAGCGCACGAGACTGCTCGTTCTCTGCACGTGCAGAACTCCAGCGAGGTTGTGGAACGTGCAGAAAGACTAATGTTCTCTCGATGCATTGCGGCAGCGGTGGCGTACCCAAACTGGCGGATGAAATTGGTCTATAGACTTGCGTTCTATGACACCAAGGCAATTACAGTCATCGGGGTCATTACGATATTTGGCCAAGAAAAGCAGAAACTGGCAATTTTGTGAAAGTGGCATTGCAAAAAAGAAAAAAATTGTAGAGCCGTGGAATAAAGACTATAACCGTCAAAACGTCTATTTACTGCTTACTGATATTTTAGTAACGTCAAGTAAAATATTCCCGGGGAACATTGCGATGTTGTTGTTCAGTTAAAATCCTAATTTTCGTGCATGCACTGAAGCGTTGATGTCCAAGGAAGTTGGGGATGCCGGCAGAAAGTGCTGCTTGTTAAAAAACACAATTGCTACCGCACCTTCACTGCAGTTGACGGAAGCGGCCGATTGCTTTAAAAGATGTACGCGAGCAGTAGCGGATTCAAGGCACGCATCTCACTTTTGTGTTAGCATGTTGGTCACAAAACAATAATAATAATAATAATGTGGTTTCAAATATTAAGCTAGAAGTCCGCTGTAAAGTATACTACTAAGAATCGAAGACAGTTTGGTTTTCTCCCTGCTGCATGTAAGGGAAAACTTCGAGCTGTACACTCTGTGATTGTGAACTCAAATACCATTTTTGTGTGTTGCTATTCGAGCGGGTGTTTTTCCGGGGTGAACTTATACTAGAATCTCTGTAGAGAAAATACTAATATAACGAAAACATAGATATAGAAAAAATAGCGATGCAACAAAGATATAAAAAAAATGCAGCCTAATTTAGTTATGACTGCAGAGTAACAAAAAAAAAAAAGAAAACACGCTAAGATTGGCGGGAGAGAGATTTTGCAAGCGAAGCATGCCACACATTCTAGGCTAGTAGGCATACTACACTCGTTAAATTGAGCCCCCAACAGCGGACACAAGAGTCGCCATCTTTCAGCGCGGACTAACTTCTTGCTGTTTAAACATCGAAGCAATAAAACGTAGATGCATCAAGCTATTTTCTAATGACGACCAATAATCGTGAACTTGTTGGACTTAATTATGTTGTGTTTTTAGGTTCGTTCGTTCCCGTAAGCCCATTTTACGAGAGTTGCAAAAGTCAAGTACACTCTTTAAATCGTACTACACATAAATTGGGTTCCCTGTTTACGGCAAATTCCGATAAACCCGGAAAATGAACTCCCCAGCGAGCTTTATCAAAATCGTGAAAAAAAAAAACAACAACAAAAAAAAAAAAAAACCGAAGGCCCCGGATTCGAGCTGTTCTTGAAGGAGAAAAAAAAAATAAAAACAATACGGAAAGAAATCTTTACCTAGAGCTTTAGTTTCTGTTGACCCGGAACACAGCCCCTAACTGAACTGTAGCGGGAGGCTGGTTCTTTCTGCGGGACCGTTTCGCGAGGCTGGTTCTTTCTTCGGGGTCATTTTCATAATATACGGACCACGGGTAAGTTCCCTCGATGTCAGTGAAATCAGTGTCCGTGCACGAATTTCTACAACATAAGCACCGATGTATTGTCCAACACCACAAATTTATAAAAAAAAAAAAAAGAAAATCACAATATTGTGAGAAGAAATAAACCCCCCAAAAACACCACTAAATTCACAAATAAAAAAAAAAATAAACCCAGATAGCACGGAAGTCCTACTCATAAACCAATCTCCTCACATGTTACGACATACACCACACGACTTCCCATTAATCTCTTCCGCACTGCAATGGTGTGTAGTCTTCTGAACGACTGTTTCACTCACCGCTTTATTAATCTGTGTGACCGAGACGCGATTAATCGTACTTCGAACTTAGCCAGCAAACCCGGCGTATGCATCCGTTAAATATGCGAATATTCGAGTCAGGCTTAGAATGTCACCTCTGCGTCTTATATAGGGCTAAGCACTAATAACGGTCTTACCTGTTAATCTAACAGAAACCAGAAACCCGCATGAAACTCGGCGATAAATCGTCAAAAAAACTACTTATCAATCATTTCGACAGAAAAAAAAAATGCCCTCTGTGTTTTGGTTTGAGGGATTACGACGGAGACCTTAAGCAAGGAAGGAGAAAATATACTCGTAAACCTCGTACGAGGTTTCTAAGGTTATGAGGCTATTAGACGATGCTGCGGGCCACCGAGAGTTCGCCCACCCTGACTGCCAATCAAAGCTAGGCACGCGCACTTTTTAGTTCTTCGGAATTTCCACGAACCCCCGTCCCCAACTGGACACACTTGTAAGCGGGGTATCTGGCCATCGACCGGGGTCACTCGTGTCAGCAAACATGCCAAAGGTCCCTTGAAGCGCATGTTGCTGTGCTTGCGCCAACTTAGCACCAGCTGGGATGCTATGTAAAGCGCCGAAGCCGGGCCACTTTGTGAATGTAGTTTCCCCGTAGCATGAGCCTTACGGTGGCAAAGCCAACTTAACGGCGAGTAGAAGGGACTGACCGTGCTCTTATTTCAAGGTTGTCGCAAGTACCACAAGAAAAAGCTTAACATGATTTACGTATTGTAAAGTGTATTAAGAATAAGTGAGAGAAAACCCTGTAAAGTCGAGGGTCCATTAAAAAAAATTAAAACCAGTTTTTTCGGCCCCTATAAATACACTATGCAACGGAAAAATCTGAGGCTCCGTGTGGATGTGACGCTAGCGGTGGCGGCGATACAACGGGAAAGTTTGAAAACATGACTTCCCCCGGATAAAAAGATAAAACCAAGAAAATAAATGTCTCTATGTGCCGACGCCTACCTAAGTCTAATATCTGTCAAAAAAGAAAAAAAGACAATGTGAGCGTTTGTGGCGCTTATCTCAGCGAAAAACACTTGCCAACAAGAAACACATTATTGTTTTCTTTCTTGCTTGTAAGTTTTATTTTATCTCACGAACCCGGCACTAGCTAGGACACTTGAAGGTAAACACATTTAAACAATACACAACGTTTGTAAAAGGCTTCCTAAAAAAAAAAAAAAGTACGACGTAACTTGTTACGTAATGCATAGACCTTCGTGTTTGTCTGGTAACACGGATGTTCATCGTAAAAAGAAAATAATGAATGAACCACAGAACAAGATATTAGGGCGGGGCGTCGATTAAAATGTTTAACCCGATCAATCACCACCCTTTCATCGATTATTTAATCGAATAATCGGTGTCGTTCATTTCCATGCAAAATCGTTAAAAAGAAGTCAAAATTAAGTTTAATTTTTGCTTTTCGTGATAATGTGAAAAACGGCGCAATATAGAGTTTCGATTATGATTCGACCTCGACGTGTAGTAGAGAACAGTTCAAAGACTCTCCCACCCGCAGATTATTGCTTCAGATGCGTGAGACAAAGGGGTTCGTTGATATCCTCCGGCAAGAGCGACCTCCTTTGACAATAGTCTCTGCTGAGCTAAACGGACAATCGCACGGCATTGAAGTAGCCGGGACACGTCGAACCTTCCGCACTTGTCTCCAGTTACAAATCTCTTTTCTACAGTTCACTTTAGGTTAAAAGTTTATCGAAAGTTTGTCCTTGATATAGGGGTACTTGTCCACGTCTGCGTAGTGAAACGTTTAAATGTTGATCAATAACCGGTTAAACAAACTAAATGAAATGGAAGCATTCATTGATTAATCGGTTAGGTTAATCGATGCACTGCTCAGTCATAGATATTTCACCGCCAGACTTACCGGTATCGAAAATCCAGAGCGGAGTCTCACCCGTCGAAGCGAAGCCAATCTCTCCTCCGAACACGTACAGCTTGCCCTGTAATTGTTAAAAGAAAGGGGAAAATAAAATCACAGCCTGAGTAGAATATCAATTCCCTTAAACCAGAGTTAGGTAAAATGCTACCGGTTTTAAGAACTTTGCTAACAACGAAACAAGAACAATACGTGAGCGACGCGTGGCGCCACTTCAATGGTAAAACCTTTTTAAGGTGGCGAAGCAAGCGAGTTGTATCATGACTTAGGAAATTGGAAACAGCGCGCAAAAAGACGAAGACCACGAGAGAAGAGCACAGGTTGAACGGTTCGTAGGATAAACTTCGAAGGTTCCAAGCTTTGCTGCGTTCAAAATCTTACTCGAATGCATCCGAGTTTCTCCGGCGGGTCATGTCACGTGACAGCACAAACAAAGCAACACTCGACGAGGGTAAGTTTTCGAACGCCGATGTAGAAAACCTTTCGACTAGAGTAAAATCAAACAAATTTTGGAACACGGCCCTATTGAGTAGGGTATTTTACGAAGTCGCAGAAAATAACAAATAAAAAAGTGACAAAGTAAAAAAAAAAAGATTGAAAGAAAGAGAGAAAGCGTGAGAAGACGATCAGTTAAAATAAAAATAAAATATTAATATAGAGTAACAGACAGGGAGGAAAGAGAATATACGAAAAGAGTTAATAAGAGAGAGAGAGACAGGACGATACAGAGGAGTTACAGAAAGATAAGATAGAAATGGAGTCACAGAGAAATAAATTTAAAGACAGTTACAGTGAGAGCGTATAGTTACCTTCCACGAGACGATGGAGTGTTCCTGCAAACAAGGTGGGCGGCTTCCCCTGCAGCGAACTTCTTCCCACCGACTCTGGACTGCAACGAAAGCGGAGGAAACGCCACGCTCCGTGAAACAGAAAATCGCACCACTCAGCGTCGGCAACGTCGGTTCGAGTTTCCTACAGTCGCGACAGAGACATCCACTCGCCGGCTTTTCTGCCTCGCCAGCGCGGCTGCTGAGGCACCAGGCACAATGTCAACTAAGAAACACGGACTCGCTCGAGATTCGGTCGATTGAAAGGAGAGCACTTAGTCCGCCTCGTTTCACACATTGCCATCTTGCTACATTCTGACCGGGAGTAGTAGTACTTACCGGCCCCCAGCATCGGAGTTAATCAACTAAACAGGAATTAAGATCTTTATGAAATATTATCGAAACGAGGACGACCGCTCGTTATAACCGAGAGCCCCTCGAGAAGGTAGAGACGTAAAACAGGTGTACCGTATGAGTTAGAATAGGGTCCGTTGACAAGAGCGCAGCGCGATGCCGGAAAAGTTGCCCCGGGTACAATAAAAGCAAAGTATAACGTGCAAAAAAAAAACAAAACAAAAAAAACCAAGAAAAACTCGACCGACTAAAGCAGCAGTTACGGTGCTTAGACGTCGTGCAAAATGAAGTCTGCATACACTGTGTGAGGCGTCTTTCTTCCTTATGCGACGGTCACATTGCTCATGCAAAAAGCTATCTCCAGACTTGTTCGAAGCGAACATGAAGATGTGCATGTTCGCAGACAATTGTGTCATCATGACTCTGGCGATCGTGTGATTTATGAACACTGTGGCTTTTAAACTTCCAAACGAGTGGCTAACGACTCCCTTCGGACGTCCACTGAAAAAAAGCGTGTACGATCGATGACTCTTCTCTCTCATCCGTCTCGACGGCGAAACGAAGTTTCGAATTGCAGCTAACAATTCGACGTTGCCATTACTTTGTTAACATTAATCTTACCGGATCGAAACAAAGTTGGCCTTACTTTGAGCGCGTACCGATCCAAGAGGAATATAAGAGGAAAAGTCACGAGTCATCGGAAGAAAGAGCGGGAACAGAGATACGCGATATCGTTCGGATCTAACGCTTCGACCGACAGCAGCGAGCGCAGAATTATACGGAGTCAGAGATAGGTTCGATATTTCTCCAGAGCAAACACATATATCCTTGCATAAGAAAAAAAAAAAAAAAATAAGCAGCGCATTTAAGTGTATTCAGAGCTTTTATTTATTTTTTTTTTTTTGGGGGGGGGGGGGGGGGGAGGGCACAAGCTCAGATAAAAGAAAGAGAACGCAAAACTTCAGACCGGTCGTACCAACAAATCTCGTAGTAGGTTACAGCATGTTTGTAGCCTGCACGGACGACCTATCGATCGACGTCGATGGGTTAGGTTGACAAAGCGTAACTGGGGAGTAAAAAAAACATGTTTAGGGTTACGGAAAGTCGGGGGTCGATGAAGCATGATTAGGTGCGTGATAGGGGTCACTAACCTCCATCTTAGAGTTAAGGGTCAAAGGTCACGATTAGTCGTGGTCGAAGCTCGCTTGCAGCTGCGAACGTACGTTCTGTCCCTACACCTTCGCGGGGGGAGGAAGGCAAGAATGCATTCTACGTTAAAAAGTACTTAAACCGAACCGTGCGCGCACAAAAGCGCACACAAACACGATACATTTAAGACCGATCCAGCTACGCTAAAAAGAGATGCGAAGGCGCACACGTCGGTAGATACATGAAAACCCGCACGCCCTCTCACACACTCACGAACAAAACAACTTGAGCACACGCTTTACCAGACGTTCTCAAACACACACTGTCACGGACATAAGCATACAGATCCGCACACGTAGGTAGGCACAAGCGCCGAAGCGGACGAGCGCGTCGCACTGACGACGACCATTTGCTCAAATGGTCAGAAACACCCAGAAGCTATAATCTACCTCTCGTCGAGCTTCCATTCCATTACCGAGTTGTTCCGATACAGTTTTTAGCTGGGTGCGTTTTGTACCTCGCGACCGAGTCGCACCTCTAATCCATTAGACTGCTCCTTTTTGTTTTTTGCTTTTGTTTTGTGCATTGAAATTGTTTCTGGCTACATCGTTATTTCCCGCGGCAGATTTCCAATTAATTTCCTCGATTTTTTTTTTTTATTCTTCATCTTTCTCTCTCGTCGAAAGGAAGCTCGAACGATTACTCAAACTCCCAAAGACCGCAACTTTGTTTCGAGCCAACGTGGACCACGGCGGAAGCTACGAGCCCCACCGAGCCAATCCGGAGCGAGGAATCGTACCACGTGATTACGAGCTCCGCGCGTCGCCCGCAAGGAGGTATTTAAAAAAAAATAATGTGGCCGAAATTGCTGTCGTTAAGATGCGTACCGCGTAGACCTGTTTTTAATAAACTGCTTAGGAACTGGTGTAGAAATTACGTGAATATTTTCCCTTCATGTTCGGGAAGTTTTCCTATTACATTTCAAACCAATTCAACGTACTGCTCTAATCTAGCTGCCTCCTTACGGAGGATGGGCCGGGCTCCCGCGACCGACCAACGACCTTTGTTGTAACATCGCTGCAATTCAAAGGCTTCCTTCGTAGAATAAAATAATCAAAAAGATGCGGATCAATGAACCGTACTCCATCGAATGAAACAGTTCCGCCAAAGATTATGTCTTTCGGCGCCCTCGCAGACCTAGCTTCATTCGATCAAGTACGGTCTATCGATCCGCATATACTCGATTCTTTCCTCTTCGGATATCGCCTACGACGATGAAAGTGCCCGTGTTCATACTATGAAATATGAACATAGTAGGCAAACAAACGTGGCAAGACCCTCGTAACCGTATTTGCCGCGCAGAAACTAGTTATATCGCATCAGATTCGTTGGGCGAGTTACCCCCTATGCATAAATGAAACAGGTGTATAAGGGACGCGTGCCGCCTGCTTCGTTGGTTACAAACCGAAATACGGACGCGAAAGTGCCTAGGGTTCGCTCAGAAATACTATCACATTCATTCATTACTGCAGTGGGCCTTTTAAAACCAATCTTCCCCTAGCAAAATGGCGCCGCGCCAGCCAAACGAATGCAGCACGCCAGCATGTTTCCAGGGACGAAATGGCACGGGACACGCCGATCTGCACAGTAGGCGCAGAGGTTCCTCCACTTCAAAGGAATACTCAAGTAGGCGCCACATACGAATACACCGAGCATAGTTTGGCTCCTTTTTTGCAGACAAATGTACAAGGCCTCCCCCTCGACCCTCCTTCAAAAACAAAAAATAAATGAAAGTAAATATATATATTTAGTATTTATTTATTTATTCAGATACCTACAGCGCCATGGGGCATTACAGTAGGGGGGGGAGAAGTTGGAAATGAAGAACACGAATAGTTATACAAAAGTTAAAAGAGCAATATTCACAAGCCATAAATCTTTCAGAATCACAACAAAGTGCAGGCTACATAAAAAATAAAAATGCGGTCTACTAAACACTCCGAACGTTGCTCAACTACTAACTAGACACTACAAGGTTAGTGTTGAATAAAACATATCGTTAGGAACAATGTTGACCACCGAGGCTGGCAAACCGTTCCAATCCCGTATTGTTTTAGGAAAAAAAGAGTTCATATAGACGTCACTTTTACAGCGGAATTCCTTGACCTTATACACATGATCCTTTCGTTGCGATATGTAATCTGGCGGGTGAAGGTAGGCATTTCTATCTATCCCAGTCCTACAGTGAAATACGTTATTAAAAATTTCAGTCGAAGGTTCTTCCTTCTAAAGCTTAACTCCTTCCATCCTAGGCTCTGTTTCGCACGAGTCATACTAAGTCGGCTGTCGTAATTGTTTAAAACAAAACGGGCAGCCCGTTTTGTTTTACTTTTTAGTACTTTTTTTTACTGCAAAGTACTTTTACAGTACTTTTTTTATTGCAAAAATAAGCTACGCATCGCCGAATGCCCATTCTCCGTCACAATGTAGCGTTAGCGGTTCGAACCAGATACCAAAGCTTCAGAACAATCCGCTCATACAAAAGTTGTGATTTTCTGAAACTTTTAATCGGACAATGGCTGCCGACGGAGCTCTGGAGCTCGATGGCGCTACATGAAGCTGAAGGACGTCATTTATTGAAAACGGCCGAAAACAGGCCCTATTCGCCCATCGAAATTTTCAGAAAATCACGTTTATAACTTTTGAAAAAAAAAACAAAAACAGATAGTTCTGAAACTTTGCCATCTTGTCCGGACCACTAAGGCTACATTGGAGGGACACGAGCGTTCGACAAGGCGTACCTAATTTTGCAATAAAAAAAATGAGGAAGGGGAGGGAGGGAGCGCGCTAGAGTCAGGCTTGGCCCCTTCCTATTACTGTGGTCACGGACTGTGTAGAAAACGCAGGGCACGCCGAGTTCCGAGCACCTAATTTTCGTTCCGTCGCTAATAAGATTGGGGTCATAGGCCGTTTAGAACGCTCAAGAAGGAAGCAAGATGCGTGAAGATAAGAAATCAGCCGTTAAGTTGGCTTCCCCACCTCCGAACTCATGATGAGGGAAAGCTAGATTCACAGAGTTTTCGGCCCGGTTTCAGCGCTCCCCCGCCGGAATTGTTACTGATAACTCCTTACACTGTCTGTGAATAGAGCTATGAATAGAGCCACTAAATAGAGTTAACGGTCGAAGTATAGGCGCTCCACTCCGCGATTCTCTCGTGGGTGCCACCAGTTTTGATGCTTAGTGCGGAGCGAGCGCGAACTGAGGATGGGTATACGACTCGAGAGAGCGAACTTTCCGCACCTTTCGATAAGGTGTGGGGAGGCTCGGACGATGTCGTTTCTCTCTCACGGGGCGTGATTAAGCATTTTTTTCTGCGAGAAAAAAAAGCGCTCCTCGCCGTTTCAGACAAAGCCTCGAATAGCTGGCAACAATGATTCTAAGCACCGGGTAAAAACTGCGAAGAGGAACGGGTGCCACGGCAATAAAACGTAAATTGATAATACGTTTTTGTTTTTTTACAGCAACATTACAGTGTCAGCAGGATACTTGACGGCTTCG